ATACACTTTTACAAATTCTAGATTTAATTTCTAAAAGAGTTGTTATCCCGAATTATTTTTTCATAGTTTGCTTTAATGGATGTAGTAATTGTTTTGTTTTTTTAATGTTATGGATGTGAGTTGATTTTTTTTTTTGTGGCTTCTGATTTATCTTCTGAGGTGGAATTGGTCTGTTCTCTTTGTGATGTGGTGTTTTTCGGGTGTGCTCATGGTGGTGTCTAGGAACAGGATGCTGTGTTGGTTGGTGTCCTTGTCATGTCTCTTTCCCTGGATCTGTCCCTGACATTGGGGCGCAGCAGGGAGCATCTGATGCCTGAGAGGACTGAAGCCCATGGAGTAGGGTGTCTGACCCACAGAAGGGGAAGAGATTTGGATTTCAGCGCCTCTCAGAAGCTCCTTATCTGGGGACACTGTTGTTCTCTATAGACAGGTGTGTTTCACTTCGCTAGGCACTTATCTCCTGCCTTCTTCTCTGAAGGCATAAGCAAACAAAGATGAACAGTTGGGGGACTGGAGCTGTGTATTCCATGTCTAGTGCCCTTGCTACTGGCAATGAAAGCGGCGCTAGATGCAGAAGGAATGGACTGAAGGTCAGTAGAGGTCTCCATGCAGACCAGAGGAGGTCCTGAGGTTCTGGGTTGAGTTTGTTCTCTGGGCAACAATTCCCACCACACTGGGAAAGTCTGTGAACATCTGCTGCTGTGAAGCCCAGGCCAGAAATGGCCTGTGTCCTCAACTGTCTATCATTGGGATATGCCACCAAGTCACAAGGAAAGCTGTAAGAAGGCCATCGTTGCCCAGAACCCTGTGCCCCTACCTTGTGTCCCAGGCCAACACAGTGTTGGGCATCTTCTTCCCAGCTTCTGGCCTCCACAGGCACTGTCAGGTGCTAGGTCAACACTAGGCAAGTTCTTGCCTTTGGAGGCCCAGTTCTGACTAGACTGCATGTCATCCTTGCTGAGGGTGGCAAGGACTGGTCCTTCTGCTTGACACAATGGCCTAAGGCTTTAGCTTAGTTTTCTGGGTGATGGCTCTCACTGGGACTATGCTTAGATCACTATAAAGAAATACAGAAATGAAGGTGACACCCACCATGGTGTGTAAGTCACCCCTGGCCCTGGTCTAGTGGGACTTCCCTGTCAATGAAGGTCCTGGGTGGGAAGGACCATTTAGCCATCCTTCTTTGGTACAACCATGGAGCTCTTGGAGTGCTATGGGCCTGCCTGTCTCTGCCTCTTCCTGGGCTGCACATTGTGGCATCCATGTAGAGTTCTGAGTGATAGAGCTGCTGTCCAGGAACAAAGTCTTTCCAGACACCACATCATGTTGAAGGAAAATTTCAAGTTCCCTATCATTGTGTATTTATGGACACAAGGGGGCGATAAAGGCACAGGTTCTACCTCATGGATTCTGGAGGTGCCTCACCTGGGAGCATTTTTAGACAGGCTGGCATCCTGCCTTAACTCTTCCCTAGGAGAGCCTGGCTACAGGGAGAGGCCACTTCCTTTTCTCCAGTTGGATTCTGAGCTTGTGGAGTTTCACAAAGGTAGAGGTCAGTTGTGTTCCCTGTGGGCTTCCCTGTGTGTGGATCTGATACTCTTTGATGACAGAAAGTGTGGTGGGAGACAGCTCGGGAGACACTGTGGGCAGTGGTCTTGGCTTCCCCACTGTTCACAGAAAACTGAAGGTTTCTCTGTGGTTTCTTCTGCCACTGGCCAGATGGCACTCCAATCTCAGAGGCCTCACAGAGACAGGACACCTTCTAAGGTCTTCTGGACTCCCACAGATGGGGTAAGGCCTGCAGTAGGGTTTTGTGGGGAACAGAGAGTGAAGACAGTTATCTTCTTGGGATGAGAGATTGGTGTTGTCTCCAGCCACAGAACCCCTGAGACACCATTTCAAGGTGGAACTGCCTGTGACAGGATCTTCTACGGCTAGCTGTGACTTTAGAGAAAACTGTACTGAGTGCTTAGTGTTATGATAAATGTTACAATAAATCTTTCTGCCAAAAGCAGCTGAGCCCCACTGCCACGTGTAAGCTTTACGCCAGCCACCTGCCCAAGTTAGGCCCAAATGAATACACAGAGAGACTTGTATTAGTTACAATGCTGCTTGGCCAATGACTAGGATTCTCATCTGTTAGCTCAGTATCAATTATCATACATCTATATATTTTATAAGACTTACCTTATCATTAGCCCCTCATTAGCCCCTTATCAGACGCCTTATTGGCGTCCCTCCTAGCTGGTGGATCACATCGTGCCGCTGGAGCAGGAGCCGAGGGGAAAGAGAGCGACACTTCCTTTTTCCTCTTCTTAAATATGAGTCTCCTTGCTATGTCACTTCCTGTCTGGAACACCACTTCTCTACTACATTTCCCAGAATCCTCTTTGACTCCTAGTCCAGCCTAACCTGCTGTCTCATTGCCCAAACAGAAGTATTTCCCCCATCATCCTAGAATCTTCTTGCCATTGTCTCCAGATAGCAGGAGAGCAACTGTGACCATGGTGTTATAAATGCCAGGGAGAACAGCAGGTTTTGTAGAAAAGGGAAACTGAGGTAGGATTCCCCTTTGTTAGGAGAGAGACCATTGGTCCAGAGGCAGTGGAATGAGGTCCCGAAGGGAGAGAGAACCTCCAAAACCTCTAAGGGAGCTGCATCAGAAGACAAGCTACCACATACAGCAGCATGAAGGAATCATGAAGAAAGGACCCTTCGATTCCCAAGGACAATGGGGGTTTCTGAGTCTCATAGGATTTCAGTGTGGGGTACAGAGGTAAGCTCTATACCAAGGCCTAGTTTGGCCTGGTCTACATGCCAGGCATGAGAAGACAAGAAAGCACAGTAGTGGATCTTGGAACCAATTTTCTTTGGACACCAAGAGACCACTGTATTTCCTCTATCTATCTATCTATCTATCTATCTATCTATCTATCTATCTATCTATCCATCATCTTTCTCTCTATCTACCTATTATCTACTATCTATCAAATCATCCATCTATCTACCTACCTATCAATCTACTTATCTATCAATCATCTATCTATCTATCTATCTATCTATCTATCTATCTATCTATCTGTCTATCTATCTATCTCTTAACAACTTGAAATAGATGACCTTTACCAGTTCCTTCTTGACTTCTGGCACATTTGGTCGCACCGAACCTTCCTTCCACTCCTTGGGAAGGGAAGACCTATGAATCTGAAACTCCTTTTGTCATAGAGAATTGAAGGTAGTAGAGTATCTTCTTTCTCCTAATGCTTTGCCTCTCTAAGGTTTCATCATTGCTGCCCCTGGCCTTGAGCCATTCTCCTAATAACCCCTTCTGAAGGGTCATCTCCTGTAGGCTTCCTCTGTGAACTTGACATTATTTTCTTTTATCCTACCCTGTAGTTGTCTACATTTTTTTCCTGTATCATCTTCTAAGAGTTTCATGATTTTCTATTTCAATACATTTGAATTAATGTTTGAATGGATATAAGGTCTTTGTTTTTTTTTCACATGGATGTCCAATTGTTCTAGGACCATCTGTTAGAAAGAAACACTGTATTTTTTCAATGCATGACTTTATCTGTCATTAATATTTAGTTGTCATTATCTGGTGGGAACTTCCTATTCTGTTCTATGAAGGTATTTGTCTGTCCCTCATTGTCTTGATTCCTGCAGCTCTATACTAAGTCCTGAAGCAGTGACAATTTTCCATATTTGTTTTTTTTTTTTCTTTCAGAGTCCAGAGTGCCAAATGTTAGACCATGGAACCAACCCCATTCTTTTCTTTCAGTATTTTGCTGACTACCCTGGATCTTTCTCTTCTCCACATAAACTTTAGGAAAAAATATTGATAGCAACAAATTACTTTGCAAAGACTTTGATTGAAATTATATGGAATCTCGAGACCAGGTTGGAAATAACTGAGATTGTGACCTATGGTTTGGCTATCCATGAACATAGACTATCTTCTCTTTTCATTGAATTCTTTGTTTACTTTTCTTTTTCCATCAGGCTTTTGTAGCTTTCTTTGATATAAGTTGCATATACTTCAATACTTTTATACCTAAATATTTCATTGAATACATGAGTATTCAACTTTTTTGTTTTGTTTTGTTTTTTTGAGACAGGTTTTCTCTGTGGATTTGGATGCTGTCCTGAAACTACCTCTTGTAGACCAGGCGGGCCTTGAACTTGACCCCACAGAGACCCCCCTGCCTCTGCCTCCTGAGTGCTGGGATTAAAGGCGTGTGCCACCAAGGCCCGGCTGAGTATTCAACTTTTTAATGTCAATGTAATTGGCATTTTGTTTTAAATTTCAAATTATGTAGTCATTGCTAGGATATAAGAAAGTGATTGACTTAAATTTTTTATTTACTTATTGTTATTAGGTGTGGTGTGTGTGTAATACATACTATGGTTCCCCATGCGGAAGTCAGAGGCCAGCTCTGTGGAGTTAGTTCTCTTTTTCCGCTTTCACAAGGGTTCTAGGGTTTGAACTCGGGTTGCCTTTACCCACTGAGCCATCTCCCTGGCCTGTGATTGGCTTTTGCATATTAACTTTGGATCTTGGAAATTTATTTTAATTGTGTATTAGATCAAGAATAGTTTTCATTTTGGTATCTACATTATCACAGTCATGCAGGAGTCTGTAAACAAAGGTAAGGTTTTGTTTTCCTTCCTAGACTGTATTTTATTGTGTTTTCTTGTTTTCATTAGCTGGGACTTCTGTTGTCCCAGTGAAGCGAAGGAGAGAAGGAATGAGGTAGGCAGTGTCCACAGGGCAGTGGATTGGTGAAGCACACTAAACTGACTAGCTGCTGTCGGTGGCCAAGGTCTATGCAGAAATCATCTCTCACGCATGGCAAGCCCTTGGGTCCAGGAAGCCTGCTCTTCCCCTTGCCTTCTCTGGGCAGAGATGGATGGTTCAGATAGCTCTACCACAATGTGTTCTTTCTTTTCTTCATGTGACACCTGCTCAACCTCACCTTATTTCATCCTCCTCACAGATCCGGACCAAGGACCGGGTCTTCGACAGCATCAGTCACCTCATCAACTACCATCTTGAGAGCAGCCTGCCCATCGTCTCTGCTGGTAGTGAGCTTTGCCTCCAGCAACCAGTGGAGAGGAAACACTGAGCTGGTCCAGCACCCTCCCCATGCCTTGTGCCAGGTCAGGAGGACCTGGGCTCCACTGCTCTCAGCCTATGGGACCTGGGGCAGCTGTCTGTGGGCTCATCACCTTCCTCAAAAGTGCCCCCCCAAGGTTTCCTTCAAGTTCAAATTTATAAACACATTCTACACATCTCAGATGCATATTACAGGTGTATATACCCACACATCCTGTATAAATGGCCCCTATATTTATATTTTTTAAGACTAAGAAAGATGGGAGACTAATGCTCTATGCTGTGTGTTTCTAGTGATTGGCAAATTTGACTGTAGCTGTTCAGGCAAAAATTTTAATTCAGCTGACCTACTGGGAAATTTTGCTAGGAAGCTGTAACCTGTAGTTCTATATAATAAGCACAATATGGGGTGAACACAGGTGAGCTGGCAGCTCCAGGACAAACAGACTCATGACAGACTAAAGCTGTTTGCTGCCCAAACATCTGCCCCTGCCTCTGCCCCTGCCCCTGCCCCTGCCCCTGCCCCTGCCCCTGCCTCTGCCTC